ATGTTGATCTTTGGATGGGGGTAAGCTGTTTTGCCTACTTTTTTTGAAAATTTGTTACTAGAACAAGAGAGCAAGTAGAAAGAGAAATTTATCCAGAGTAATGAATAACTAAGCAAATAGCAGTTACTTGTCATAAACTGTTTTTCCCAAATAAACTCTTTTTTTTGGTAAGTAATAAACTCTGAACCTGTTGGCAAGTAGTATATAAGAACTACTTCTAAACAACAAGTGCTGTTTTAGCAGTAAGTAATAAGAGTAGTGATATTTATCACCTGATTTTTTTTTATCAGAGGCTTACCCCCCCCCAGCTCTTAATATACAATTGATCAGGTGTTATATATAAAATTTTAATTTTTTTGACCCCCCCTCCCCTAAAAAATCACCTAATAAATATCTATACCCTAAACTCTAAACCTGTTGGCAGGTAGCGTATGAGAACTACCTCTAAACAACAGGTGCTGACTTATAGCTTCGTTCTGGCTCCAGGCACTTCCTATGACCTCTTCATTATGTTTTGAGTTCAAAAAATTTTCTGGAGAATTTTGGTATAAGTGATTGATGGAGAGAGTTGTGTGATTGATTTTATTATTATTATTATTTGTTTTTATAATTGCTTTAATTTTTATTTAATTTTATTATTGTTATTTTTTTTTAATAAGTTTTGGTATTTTTTATTTTTTATTTTTTTCTTATTCTTTTTTCTATTTTTTTCTTTTTTTCCCTTATTTTTTATTTTTTTATTTTATTTTTATTTTTTATAATCAGTTTTTTTCAAAATTTTTATTTATTATTATTATTATTATTATTATTATATTTAATTTTTATTTAAATTTATTATATATTGTTCTTTAATTTTTTCTTTATAATCATTTTTTTTTTATTATATTTACTTATTTATTTATTTAATTTTACTGTATATGTTATTTTTTCTCTATAATTGCTTTTTTCTTTATTATTTAATTTTATATATTATATTATTATTATTATTAATTAATCTACTAATTTTTAGTTTTTGTCCTTAATAGACAGATGACTTGACGGGGAAGTACATCTTCTTATAAAGATTCTGCTTCATGACATGAATTTTTCAGTTTTCTTAAACAAATTAAAAATTGGCAGGATGAATCCATGATAGCGCCAACAGCATATCCGAGAGAATATGGGAAATATTGCTAACAATAACATTTATAGCATTCACTCTAATATATGGATAGTACATTCTCTGACTAACAATGATATAGAATATTCAGTTAGAATGAAAGATTCTACAACAGATAATAATTTTTTTGATATTTCCTCCTATGTTTATAATTGTTATAATTTTCAATCATGACAATTACTATACAAATATATATTTGTCATAGCATGAAATCATTTAAACAACAAAAATTCAGAAGATAATCATCTAAACAATGAAAATACAAAAGATAATCATCTAAATGACAAAAATGCAGGAGATAATTATTTAAACAATGATGATAATACAGAAGATAATTATCTAAACAATAAAAATACAGAAGATAATGCAGATAAGGATAATAAGAATGTCCAACTTGTAAAGTTGTATGAAGAGCTTGCTGCTATTTCCAGAGAATGGCAAGATAAAAAAGGTGAGAAAATTTACAATTTTCGATTAGCTTTACGACAATTAGTTTAAACAGAAAAAGAAAGAATGCCAAGAATTGAATCAGCCCCACAAGCTCCACAAGCTACCACTAGCAGTGAATAAAGAATTCAAATAAATCAAATAGCACCAAATATAAAAATCCAAAAACAAAATAAGTATTAGATTTTTTTTTTTTTTTACTAACGCTAATTAGAAAAGCAAAATACATATTTAATTTGAAATTATTTGTATTTTGAAATGTTTTTGTTGATAGAAAGTTTGTATTTTAAATAAATTCGTTGATTGCAGTTTGAAATTTTGTCGATAGAAAGCTTGTAACTCTAAATAAAAATTTCATTCTCAAAAATAATCATTCTCAAATAAATAAAATATCGAATAAAAAGTTTCACAAAAAATTCTTACTTAATAAGTTTTACTTGAGCGATAGCACATAACATTTTTACTTGAGCGATTAACACATAGAATCGCTTTTTTTTTTTGAATTTTGTGGCTATGCTAAAAGTAATATGATCTATTTTGTCCAATGGGAGATGTATTTCATACGCCCAATCAGAACTTGGGGGGAAATTAGGGCTCCCAGCGATACCCAAGACATAAATATTGACTGTTTATGAAACTCCTTATGAGATCTCTAATATCGCGTAAGATAAATGTGTGTTAGAAAGCCTGATGTAAGTAGTGCACGCGTTGCCTTGGACAATATTACCGCTACGAAAATCTCAATATTCTAATACTTATAAATAAATCACCTCAAGATCTGACGTTTCGTGATTTAGTAAATTTAATTTATCTTCTCATTCATTTGCGACACTTCGCTTAAAGATCTCCCTTTGATATAAAATTATAACTAAACAAGCATCATGCTACTTTAAAAAATAAATATCTACGCCTCGATCATTAGGCTGATCAAATTACCCCATATCACACGAATAATCGCATTATCTGAAAACAGCTAATGAAATGTTTGAAATGTTGGAAATTTTTAAGACAAAAAAAATAAACGACAATCGACCCCAAAAAAAGAGACCGGTGTAAATGATTCCAATAAATATATCATTCGATATTTACATTGTCGAACATAAACTTACCTCAATTAAATAAGTTCAAAAAAAGTTCGAACAGAGCTTATTAATTAGATAGCCTAACTAATCCTGGAACAATTATCGATTAATTTACTAACATAAAATCATTATCGCAAAAATTATAATCCTTCTATTAAACCAAATTAAGCATTACTTGTAAAGATTCACATGTTTCTTATAATTCGAAAAACCCGTTCCAATTTTAAATATTAAACAAAACTACTAATTCGGATTGATTAATTCAAATGAACTATTTAATTTAACAGGTTACCAACTATCGCTATACATATTCAAATCATAAAAACCAACCTATATTAAAAGCTCCATACCCGATTATCAAATCACTCCCAGAGCATAGGAAGCGCATTTTTCAATCGGTAGATTGAAAAATAACACGTCGATTGACAAACATGTTTATACATTTATTGTCTGGAGCGAAGCGACAGACATATTTCTGAACAGTCTTGTTATCGTTATGTACATACGTATGTAAATCAAATTTTTCAGGGGACCAAAACTACGTTTTTAATATTTTTACTATAAATTATCAAAAACGTAATTTTGGTCATCAAAGGGCGTAGAAATATAAGTCTGTCGCTTCGCTCCAGACAATAACAAGACTTTTCAGGGGCTGAAGCGAGCTCCAGACTTATACTGGTTTCCGGTTCCTAGTTTATACATGCATATACAGTATATACATGTGGCATAAATTTTTGTATTACATTTTACATCTAATCATAAGAATTTGCACACCTGCCATTCTAGTTTTCTGTTAACCATACTTCGCAATTTACATTACTACGTCCCTGGTATTAGATAAAAAGTGTGTTACAATAAAAAAAAAAAGATATTCTACATAGTAATATAAAATACAGTACGCATTTTATTAAAATCGGCTATGTATCCGGATATTTATTAGATACAGTATCAATCGGTGTGACATTCCTGATAGATTTTTTTCCGGATCCCTAATTTTAGATAGAACGGTCATGGTACGTACGTCCTGATTTATTTATCATTAAGTCAAAAATAAAAATTTTTTATCGTATGATGTTTAATACGCTTATTTTCAGCTTCTCATTATAGAAAAATATTATTGAATATCATTTAAATCATTAAAGCTAGTGAAAAAAAATAGAAGTTACCCCGCAGAGAACTGCATTCAGTGTCTGGTGTGACAAACTGAATAATACAGTATAGATCAATTTTTTCTTAAAATCGTGTCTATGTATCATGTGATGCGTATTTACATAAAAAATTGCACCATACTGATACTGGTAGAGAAAAGTTTATATTATCTTATATTAAAATCTAATCGCCATTCTTTTCGCCAGGAACTCTATGATAATAGAATTTATTTATGTAATTGTTATGTAACTATCGTGTAACGTTCGATGGAGTCGCAAATTCCGCGACTATAAATTTAAAGAATAAAATGACATAATTTATGACCAATGAATGATGCATTTTTAGTATTTTTTTTTTATTGAATGACTCATCAAAATGACTAGTTTATCTTTTTTGTGATACTCAAAGTTCTTTGTTTTTAATCAACTGATTCTAAACACCGATGTTTCACATTTAGGGGGCTTAGCACCGAACCGATCTGCGGCATTATTACTAATAGTAATAAGTAAATGAGTAACTTTTGATAAGCAATTTTATTTATAAAAGGGGACAGTGTTTTTATCTTTTCATTAATTTCCTAAAATTCAGATAATTCACACTATTTTATTAAACTACCATTTAAAAACCATTTAAACAAAAATGCAAATTTTCGTTAAAACTCTTACCGGAAAGACGATCACTCTTGAAGTTGAGTCGTCGGATACAATTGATCAAGTTAAACAGAAGATTCAGGATAAGGAAGGAATCCCCCCAGACCAGCAACGTTTGATTTTCGCTGGTAAACAATTAGAGGACGGTCGTACTTTATCTGATTACAATATCCAGAAGGAATCCACCCTCCATTTAGTTCTTCGTCTTCGCGGTGGTATGCAAATCTTTGTAAAGACTCTTACCGGTAAAACTATTACCCTTGAAGTTGAGTCATCCGATACCATCGACCAAGTGAAGCAGAAAATTCAAGATAAAGAAGGAATTCCTCCGGACCAGCAACGTTTAATCTTTGCCGGAAAACAATTGGAAGATGGCCGTACCCTCTCAGATTATAATATCCAAAAGGAATCAACTCTTCATTTAGTTCTCCGTTTACGTGGTGGTATGCAAATTTTCGTTAAGACCCTCACGGGTAAAACCATTACACTTGAAGTAGAATCATCCGATACTATCGATCAAGTAAAACAAAAGATTCAAGATAAAGAAGGAATTCCTCCGGACCAGCAACGTTTAATCTTCGCCGGAAAACAATTGGAAGATGGCCGTACTCTCTCGGATTATAATATTCAAAAGGAATCTACCCTTCATTTAGTTCTCCGTCTTCGTGGTGGTATGCAAATTTTCGTTAAGACCCTCACGGGAAAAACCATTACACTTGAAGTAGAATCATCCGATACCATCGATCAAGTAAAACAAAAGATTCAGGACAAAGAAGGAATTCCCCCAGATCAGCAACGCTTGATCTTCGCCGGTAAACAGTTAGAAGATGGTCGTACCCTCTCAGACTATAACATCCAAAAGGAATCCACCCTTCACTTAGTGCTTCGACTTCGTGGTGGTATGCAGATCTTTGTCAAAACCCTTACGGGTAAAACCATTACTTTAGAAGTCGAATCTTCTGACACCATCGATCAGGTTAAACAAAAAATACAAGATAAGGAAGGAATTCCTCCAGATCAGCAACGTTTAATTTTTGCAGGAAAACAGTTGGAAGATGGTCGTACTCTTTCTGATTATAATATTCAGAAAGAATCTACTCTCCATTTGGTACTTCGACTTCGTGGTGGTCAATAAATTAGATAGGATTTTATATAGTCATGTAAATTTGCTTTTTTGCATAATTGTAAAGGTTTTTTTTTTACATAATGAATATAGAGTAAAATACTTTGTTGTATTTTAACTATTAATTGTCTAAAAATTTATTAATAAAGTTCATTTAATGATCGTTTGGGTTCTAATTTAAAATTTTCATTTGCTTGCTATTAAAAAGGCTTTCTTGTTCGCTAAGTGTTAGAACGAAGAATTAATCTATAACGAAGGATTGGAACCTTTTGCATTTTTATATGGTATTTGTATCATGAATTTCTCATGTGATAAAAAAAAAAAGATGCTGTTAACTTGCTTTAAAATTATAAGCTTGGTTTAGTACGTGCTTTAAATACTACGTATACTCAACTAACTATTAATAAAAGTAAAAAAAAAATTTATTGATTCGCTATATAAAAGATGTAAAGAAGTATTTTTTCTTTCAAATCTTTGATGCATAATTGTTAATCATCAAAACTTAGGGAAAAAAATAATCATCGATTAATTTTCCCATTGTCTTGTAATATCAATGCTCATTCTTAATCCTTGGATCCAGATTTACTATCGTCAGCGTTGTAAGGATCTGTAAAGACGCTCTCTTGGGGTTGATGCCTTGAAACTTCGTCTGACATTCTCTCTGTATCTTCTTTTCGCAGTGCGGTATCTTGTTTTTGTAGTTCTTGCTTAAGTCGTACATCTGCCATACACGTACTGAATGATTTATAACTAACCATATATCCTATCAAAACAGAAGAAGCTTTAAATCACGAAAAATTAATACTATATATATCATTCATCAAATTTCGTTATGACAAACATTTACTTACACAATACTGATAATACAACTTTGTTTGGTGGTAGTTTTAGAACTCTATTTGTCAGAATGCCTACGATTCATACCAATTTGAAAAGAGACGAATATGATCATCAAAGGGGCCATTGAAAGTCTCATTCTCTGCGTGATCTGATAATAATTAAGCTTAAGTTTTACCTGTCAATATTCCTCCACAAACACCACTATAGAATCCATCCCTCTTAGATTTTTGTTGACACACTTTTAGTGAAATAAGCTCCTTTTTTTTTTGTTGACAAGTAAAAAATTTTTAAAAATTTTTAAAATTTACTCTTTTTAATTTTATACTTACCGGACGTTTTTCTGCTATTTCTTTTTGTATATCTGTTAATTTTTCCATTATCGTTATTAATTATGCGCGTTGAAAAAGATTTTAAACTTAAGTGTCAAATGCTATTTCAACAAAATTTTAAACCATCAGTATTTTAAGTTGTGACAGCTTATCTAATATTTAAATGTTTTAAATGTTTTAAATTTGTTTTAAAGCATTAATAAAAATATTAAAAGCAATTTTACGTATAATATTTACGTATATATTTATTATATTTTTTAATATATAGTATATATATTATTTATTATAAAACGCACCTATGGTGGTTTTGCACTTATTATATGTTTTGTTTTTTAAGTTTTGAATACGTATAAAAATTTTCAACACATGTTAGTGTTAGTATTTAGGGTTAAGGTTAAGGTTTGAGAAGGGGAGTAGAGCATTTTTACTTATATAGAACATCTTATAATTAGCCAGTTTTTGAGATAATACTGTATGGTTTTACCACAAAATCCCGAATGACAAATTCCCGAAAGGACCTAATACTGATAAAGTTAGCCGGCATTAGTTATAA